AGTCCGGTACTAACCTGTGAAGGTGGCGCCTTGTTGCAGGTACATCGAAGACGAAGCTGGAGCTATGGCGCCGCAGGTAAGTCTCCCTGGCCTCCGCCAACCATCTCTCTCTCTCCAACGCTACTCTAGCTCCTAATAGCGCCCAGCGCTGAAGACTACTGCTAATGCTACTACTACTACTGCAGCGCTCCTCCAGAGTGCTGCTGCTGAATCCTGAAGACTGCCTCCTGCCTCCTGCACGTGAAGTGCCTGGGAAGTCCCTATGAACTGCCTCCTGACTGCCTGCAACCTGTAGGGCGGGCCAGTCTTATATAGTGCTGGCCCATCCAGGAGGCTGCTCTTGCCAATGCCAAAACGTGCCAGACCCTGGCGTTGAAGTTCAAACTTCAAACAAAGGTTGTCTTGAAAACAGGCCAAAAATGGCCTGTGCTAAAACCCTGGTCTGGTGCCTAAGTTTAAGGGCAGGTCGAATTTATGAGGGCCTGCAAATGGCCCTCGTTTTCAGGCTTTTGGGCTGAAGCGACACAGGGCCTGTAGGCCCTTGTTTTCAGGCTTTCAGGAAGAAACGACACAGGGCCTGTAGGCCCTTGTTTTCAGGCTTTTGGGCTGAAAACGACACAGGGCCTGTAGGCCCTTGTTTTCAGGCTTTTAGGCTGAAAACGACACAGGGCCTGGAAGGCCCTGATTTTCTGTCTGGTCGGGCCTTGCAGGCCCGTGTGGCTGTGCAGTATGCCACAGGTCATTAGATGCAACAAGGTGTGGGATGTTGGGAAATTATATTTCTCTGAGGACCAGTACTTGGCCCAGCTATGGCCGTGGAAAAAAATAGAGTAGAAAAGTTTCTAGTCGGATGAATTTGGGTGCTCCTGTAGTGGCCCGTACGTTTCCTAAAACCGTGGCTCGTTAATGGGCACGACTTTAGGAAGTACTGGTGGTTTAAGGGCCAGAACAGTTTGGATCCAAAGCGACAAGCCATGATGAGGACAAAGAAAACAGATGGGCTTCGAGAGCCATAAGCCTTAAGACACTCAAATTCTCAATCAAACAGGTGTTCATAAGTTCTTGCGCTTCGTTGAAGTTCATCCATAGTTTTGACAACATCAGGGTCGCACACGATTACTCCGATCTTTTGTTCACAAAATAGAGTTTAATAAACTCAGTAAAACTCTTTTCCATAAGTGTGGTCCAGAAGTGTTAGATTTTTCGAACCATACTTGCAATGCACCGCGCATGCCGAAGTGTGTGCATGCATTGCAGAGTCAGTACCACGTTCACACACTGCACATTGGCGTAGATGTACCTGAACGTCCCTTTTTTCAATTCCAAGAAAGTTGCTGTAGTCATCACTTTTTTTTTTTTTTTTCCCTATAATAATAAAAAAAACAGGTCCGTATGGTCCTGGCTCCATATCCATTCTGGGGAGCATCAGTCCGGTTCCTGTCCACCGGCAAGTCGAGAATTGGAATACATGGTGAACACTCTCACGCTTCCTTCCGTCTGGGCGAAGGAACCCTAACCAGCATTGATTGCTCCCATGTACGAGGATTGACTGTCAGCTTGCCCTACCGCTTTTCCTCTCGGAATCCATTTTGATTCTGTCATATAGTTCGTGTGCAACAAGAAAAGAGGAGAGTTGTCCATATTGTTGAGATTGTAATCTCAATTTGCCCAGCACTGGGTCATCGTCCTTGCTGGAGTTGCGCTGTGCCATTTCTTCCAAATCAATCTATTATCTGCCACTGTTGCAAATCTTTCCCTGTAGGAGCCAGTCTCTCATGAAAGAACGTCTCTTGGTGGCTAGCCTTTCTGGTCTGACTTTCTTTGTTGATGTAACCTCCCTCCATCTGCACCGAATCTCACTTTCCGTCATACTCAACAGTAGGGCCCACATTTCTTCCATTGCCACCTCCGCTCTCTCGATAGTCTTGATACACCTCCTTTTCCAGATCACCCACAGAGCCAGCTTCCTGAGAAGGTGAAACCAGGTTTCCTTGCCACCTTTGAGATTGTTAGTACTGTCGGATATGAGGAGGATGTTTTGAGGAGATGTGGGGAAAGGGGGTGATTAGAAGAGGAGGGACCATAGGTCGCGAGCTTTGTTCCATATTCAGGCTGCTTCGGTGCAGTACAAGAGGCAATGGGGTATGCCTTCTGGTCTGTTGTCTGTCACATAACACATAATGCGGAGCTGTCGGGATCCGCATTTTTCCTCCCCTTGTGGAGCCATTGGTTAATGGGCAGGAATGCGTGGGCTACGAGCCACTGCATGCTTTGGATCCTAACCGGTCTGATGGACAGGTACTTCGTCCAGGGGATGGAAACGGGGTCAGTAGGTTCTAGGTCCCAGGATATCCCTCCATTTTTCTTTGAGTCTGGGATCCGGGTCTGTAGTTTGTAATCCTAAGTCATAACCGAATTTTACAACGTATTAGAATATCGTTGTCNTATCCCTCCATTTTTCTTTGAGTCTGGGATCCGGGTCTGTAGTTTGTAATCCTAAGTCATAACCGAATTTTACAACGTATTAGAATATCGTTGTCATTCTCCCGGATTTCCCCTGTTTCCAGATCCACTCTTTCGGGTCGAATTCRAGGTCTGAGATGCAGAGATCAGGTTGGAAGATTATCCAGGGTTTGGCTTTTGTGACCCTCACTTTTCTCAATCGGAAGGATTCTAGAATGTCACACTGGGGTTCTTTGTTCATAACTTCCAGCTTTTGTAGGTTGTGATTAGTGATCGGGTAGGAGAAGAATTTGGAGAGGTAGCTGGGTGCATTGGTTCGAGAAACAAATCGGTAAGCTCTGGGAGGCTGGGTTTGGGAAATGAGTATGCCCCAGTCCCCAGATTTCCACGAGAAGTCCTCCCTTAAGAGGGAGAGCCACTGTGTTGGGATGCTTTTCTATATCTGTGTTAGATTTTCTGTGAGGGCGTGGAAGCCTTTTAATTCATTTTGGAGCTCCTGTTCGGTTAACCATTGTCTTCGATCTTCTGCCCAAATGTGTTTTACCTGCCGCACCCTTTTTTCCACCCAGGATAGCCATCTCCTGTCTTTTGTGCGTAGTGTCCAGGGTGAGCCACTCGGGTCTATGATCCAGGAATTGCAGAACAAGGGTTGTCTCAAGACCTCTTCTCTGTTTCCTGGTGCACCCTGTTTGTTCGGCATCATTTTTCGCCAGACGAGGGTTGGCTTCCAGTATGGATTTGCTGTTGGAGTAGGGCTTGTAATTCGTTCTGTTGGGTTCCTTCTGCTCTGTCAGCCTGATTTGATTGTCCAGTCCTTCGCCATTATCCAGAAGAGACCTCTCATGTTGAGAGGGGAGTTGATAGGTGCTAGATTTCGGATGCTGTCCAGAGCCATTTGGGTCCATGGAATGGATTGTCTTATGAGGATGTTGATAATCCATTTCATCTGCAGTGATACGGATTTCTTGTTTGGGATCAATAAGCCCCAACTCCCCCTCCTGCGGTTTCCTGATGATGTGGTTCCAGTCTACCCTGTCGATACACGTGGTCCTGTTGGGGTATCTGGTCCATAAGTAGCATCTGGCCCGTTTTTTAAACATTAGGTCATCGTCGGGGGGGGGACCAGATGGATGCCATGTACCACAGTGTGGAGACGATTGCCGTGTTAATTAGTAGTGCTCTTCCGATTAACGAGGCCTGGGCATTTTTGCACGGGGCCATGTGAGTGATTGCCCTAACGACTAGGTTTTGGCCCATGCCTGGCCACACTCCGTCCTTGTTTATCACGATACCAAGGAATCTTAGTGCCTGATCTCCTGTAGACCATGACATGGGCGTGGTTGTATCGACCGGTTGGGGTGGGGTCCCGTCTGCTAGCCACCATCCTTCAATTTTGCCCCAATTGACCTTCATTTCCGATGCCAGTCTAAAGGCTTCCATTGCTCTTACAAGGGCTTGGAATGAGCAGTTGTTGGCACGAATGAGGACAGTGAGGTCGTCGGCGAACATTAGCGCAGTGGGTAGGGAAAAGTCGTGTAATGGATGAAAGTTGCGTTCAGTAAGGCGGTCAATGGAAGGGTCATTCCGAAGGAAGGAGGCTACCTGATCTCGAGATCGGCCCTTGCAAACAGAATCACAAAGCTAACAAACAAATGCTTTCATATCAACCAACCAGGTTCTATCCCTGGCCCGTCCATACTAGATAATGTGATGGCACTAAATGCGGCAGCAACGAAGATCACGGAAAAACGAATGAAGGCAGCAATCCTGTTTTTTGACTTCGAAAAGGCCTACGATCAGGTCAATTGGGACTTCCTGCATGCCTGCATGGAGAAAATCGGGGTAGGCCTCTG